AGTGCGTTATTCATAGGTACCGGTTGGGGTTGGTTCGGCACGTGCGAATACACGACGGACACGTCGAGCATAGTTGTCGCGATCGAAGTCACGAAGTCCCGCGATTATGGGAGATGCATGGGTATACAACATCGGCTAGTATTCCGCGCGAACACCGACCGATTTATTCCCTTTCCTGGAAACTAGGCGGAGAATAGAGAGGGTACAGAAATTGGAAATTGGATGGAAATTGCGTAAATTGCATCGGTCTTATTAAACAGATAATAATTTCACATTACGCAGAGAATATTTCAAAAATATTGTTTTGCCCAATCAGTATCTCCAACTTCATTACGAAGTATTGTCAATTTGTAATAAAATCTGTAAAATACAGAGAACTAGGTTTTATAAAGCTATCACTTCATTTCCGATGTCTATCTATAAACAAATAAATTTTCAATTATGACTGTTTTAATTATATTTTCACATATCATAATTTATTTTTAATGTATAAATTTGAATAAAATAATTACGCTGTTATCACAGTTGTTTTTCTAAAATATTAATTTAATTTTAATATATACACATATTTTATTAAGTACAGGTTGTATAGAGATTTTAATTTTTTAAATTTGATAAATTTACAAAATATATGAGGAAAGAATATAATAACGGATATGTCCATTTGACATACATCTACCAAACTTGCAGACTTGCTTTTAGAAAGTCAATCTACATCAAGCTACGTTTGTCATTACATATCATATTACAGCACGAGTTTAAACAAACGTTGTTTGCTCAACCTAATTTAACTTGTGCCTCGATATTACGCGATTTTTGCGAATCGCGAAAAGGAAATATCGTTTCTGAAATATATGTATAATATATATTGAAATTAGTGTATCCTGTAAATACGTTATTTCTAATCCATTTTTCTATTTCATCAAGTATGTAAATAGATTCATCAAAATCTTTATTTCATTATTTTTTATAAAACAATTACAGAAGAAGTGCATTCCCACATCACTGATTTGTTAAAAAATTAAGAGTGTAACTTGATAAATTTAGTAAATTCCGATTCGGCAAAAACTTACAGTATATAATCACCATATTATTAATGAATGCATCTTGGCAATTCGCCAGCAACCGTTGTCCGTGACAGTACGAGACTGTTAGCAAATGGACAAGTAACTGGGTCGATAATCGCACTATCTCTGTTAACAGGTAAAAAAATGATCAAAAATGATACACAATGGTATCGTTGAAAAATCTACATTTTATTTTTTTATATGAATACGTATTGCGTAAAATAACAAGCAATAGTATAAATAAAAACTGTGGAGCGATCTGACGTTCTAAATTGTAAGTTACTATACCTGCAAAATCGCAATTTCGCACGCAGCATAGCACTTGTAATAAATTTCATGGACGAGTTGATTTTGGGAAGTGGAATAAGATAAGTTTGGAATATCTTCCTTACTAAAGTAGGTACATTGCATTAATTTCTACTTGCATCCTACTTAACTGTGTTTCCAAGTTACAACACTTTGAGAATAATCGGCTCATATTAATTCGATTTTAACGTCGCTAAATATTCTACATAAACATTATAAAAACATAAATAAGACAACAAAAAGTTAAATCATATATACAATAGAATGTAAAGTCTAGAATGCATAAGTATAGAAAATTACACAAACTTCGTATAAATGTCCGTTATTTATATTTAGAAATCCTTCATATAAAAAGATATTTTGAATATCTGAAAATTTAGTTTTTTATTTTGGGTTATTTTCATATGACACTTTGAGATGTATAATATACATTAAATACATATAAATATTAATTCTGGAATGTCATAGTATCTTTTTTATAACGACTACATCTAGATATGGCACGTCTAAATCAGTTTTATCTTTTCATACGAAAAAAACGGTTTTGCTGAAATATCTAAAAATTTAGCTAGATACATATCTAAAAATAATTTTATTAGACCATCAAAATAATTATGTAGAACGCTTAAGCATTGCTGACAATGCTGCAAAAAATTTTAATATTCTAAAAACCAATTTAAGCGTCCTACATAATTACTTTAATGATTCAAACAAAATTATTTTTAGATCTGTATCTAGCTAAATTTTTAGATACTTCAGCAAAATCGTTCATTCCCTATAACTTCTGTAAAAAATTAATATTTATTGCATATTTTTTATTTAACGCAGCAAACGTTCAATAATACAATTATAGTAAAAACAAATTTAATATTAATTATTAATGAAAAGAGTTATAAATAATAAAAATAGATTTTGTTATTTTAAAACAATCAAGTACACTAAATCCAGAAAAGCTTTATAAGGATGTATAGTTGTAAAATAATAATATGCAGAGTGTTTCAAGATTCATGATAAACATCAAAGGAAAGATAACAGATCTGAAAAAGACTTTTGTTAAGGAGCATACTTATACAATCGATTACGTAGCAGCATAGACGTTGCAGTGTAACTAGTTTCCATGATAAAAAAAACAGACATGTTTTTTTTATCATTTTGTAAAAACAGTATTGTCAGATACATGCAATCAGATATGTAGTTCTTTAAAAATGCAACAGAAAATGCAAATTCTTTAACAAAAGTTGATTCTTTTAATGAGATCTATCACGTTCCGAAGTTTATTTTATGAATGAAAAATTGTATAGATATATATTTTTTAAAATAAGAAAAATTATGATTTAACCTGCCAATTTATATTCTTTTAATAAGAAATTTAGTAGAAACATTATTTTTATTTTATAAAAGATAAGGAATAAAGCAAAATTTTCTGTTAAAATATTTTCTAAGAAATTAAAAAAAGAGAATATGAATGGCAAGATGTTCATAATTTAAAATAAATTTCGTAATAAAAAAGTTTAAGAAATTAAAGAATTCAACTAACAAAATTCACGAAATGACTTTATCTGTGTTGCCAAAATAAAAATTAAGGCGGCAGTTTAGAATATGTAATAACGTATTGTATAACGTATTGTAATTCTAACGGCTTAAAATTATTTTGAGTATTATGCAGCTAAATATTTGGTTGTATTATAAAAAATGCGGCGAAGGAAATCTTCAAAAAGACCAGTAATATAAAGTCTTGAAATTCACAAAAAAGGACGAAATAAAATGGGATACAGATGATAGTATGCGAGACTACAATGGAGGTTTCTTGTTAAAAAATATGCATTCACTCTTTCATGGCGAATTTAGATTATCGGAAAAAACGCGGCTGCGAAGTGAATTCTCGCGAAAGTATCTCCAGCCTGTCTTTGATTCGTTCATTGAAGACCGTCGCGACTGTGTGATACTTGTTTTCCCAGTTAAAAGCTTGAACTATAGATGAGCTACTCACTGCAAAACTAGTCTCTTACGAGCTACTCTCATAAGAGCTATTCCGTCGCATCATAATACAATATATTGTAGAAAGTGCGCAGCAGAAAATGCTTATTTTAAATCGGAAATATAGTTATGCTTTATGAACTTTAATCAAGTACAATATAATATACGATAAAAATTTTTTCTTAAAAAATATATTAAAATCATTAAAATACTTTATAAATAAATTGTATTGTTAAAGGCACTTAAATAAGATTTCTCTAGTTGGATGATAATATCACTAACAGTTGTTTTTAACAAGTCAATATTAATTGAATTACAAATTTGGCATTCAGAATAATGATTGAAGAAAGATTGATAGAGAACTTACGATAATATGTGAAAGTGATTTTAGAGATCATCATTGGGGCAAATAACTGTGCTTTTGAGAATATAATATGATCTCTAACGAACAATTTATACAGTTTTTTTCTACAAAAAAAACGGTAGAAAATGTAATGGTGAATAACTATAGTATTTTACGATATTCTATGTCCGCGATAATAAGTAATGTCTATGAAGTTTGCGTCTGACTCAGTTATAATTTACAAACAATTCATCAGCGATGTCATCGGCAACATATTGTCAACACTCAAATATTGTCAGAATTCAAAATTCTAACGGAATTCAAAACGCAAAACATGAATGTCCGTTCACGAATTTTTTGCACGTCCCGTTGTATTTCGTTCTAGTATGCAATTTATTACTAACTGTGAATCACAACACACACAATTTCCACATTTACAAATCTACATTTTTTTCATGCTGCCGCTTCGTCAATGCACACTATCGACACTTTACACATTTAATAAACATTGATGGTTGTATAAAAATTTTTGGCACAACAATGTCAGTTATTCTTCTTAATTTTATAATATATAGAAACACACTTAAATTTTTAGGTTTAAAAATTTAATAGTATTCCGACTTTTAATCTCTTTTGTAAAATTTTGTTTTATATTTTAAGCTTCCTCTTATGTTATGACAACAAATGTTGAATATTTGATCAGCACGCAATAAATTCTAGCACGAATGCAATAAACTCTTTTTTAAATAATTTATACAATGACAATAATCACATAATAATTAATTTGCACGATAATTAATTTAGTAATGTATATCGCGATAAAATTACTTTTTGTATAATCTTTCCATTTGTTTATGTATCTAACCACTTAAGTAGTATTATTATATCAAGAAATAAAGAAATTTATATTAATGGTTTATATCTATATATACTGCACGAGATAAAAATCACAAGTAATTGCTAACGTTCAAGTTCCACACTCCAAAATTTTTTTAAATTTTCATTTCAACACGCAATAGCATAATATACAATTACATTATATGTATACGTTCCTATATAACTTGAGATATTTTACATTTTACATAAATGATACTGATTACATTATACATGTTATACTCTTTAATGAAAGATTAATTCGTTACACTTGTTGCCTTCATGTGATGGCATATTATCATCTTATCAATCAACTTAGAGAAACCAAGAGTTAAATTACATCGTATAGAAAAGACGTGTAAAAGCATTAAGGCAGCTGTTAACCCGACTGTAATAATAATAACATAACTTGTGATTGATTACTTATGTTCCAGGCGTACGTCGATCTGGTGAAGGCCTGGGGCTGGAAGAGTTTTACCATTATCTACGAGAACAACGAGGGGCTTGTGCGATTGCAGGAACTTCTGAAAGCGCACGGACCTAGCGAATTTCCCATTACGGTTAGACAGCTGAGCGAAGGATCGGAGTATCGGTGAGTCTTAGTTCCACTCTTATTCTTTCACGTTTTCTTTCCAAGGTTGCAAGATGCAAAAAATTAAGCTTCCATGGTCCCAATATTGATATTCCACAACATTTCTCGTTCGTTACACGACGACTTACTGACTTGTGTTTTACTTGATATAATCTGTGATGCTCTCAAAGAAATTTAATTTGCCAATTTCGCGGACATATTATTATTTTTGTTTTTTTTTTATTGTACTTTCAAAAAATAGATTCACGTTGAAACAGAACCAACGATATTACAAATAAAAATTCCACGTTTTAAGCTGGCTCTCGTCTTGCTAGGAGGATTTATTTTGAGTTGAAGTCAGAAGCGATTTATAGTACATGAATCGGAATCCGCAAATATCCGGGATTCTTTTGCTTCATCAAAATTTATGTATCAAATTTAAAGAAACGGAATACATTTGTAAACCACAAGTTTCTCAAGAAGTAAAAATTATTATATATTTATAAGATATTTAACATTATAATGAAAAAAGAAGATATATCAAAAAGCTCATTAATCTTAGTAATATAAGGTTATTCTATTCCAACATGAATATTTTTTAAAGAAATTTAGAGTCACATTTTTCTTAATTGTTTTCAATTTATTCCGTACAACAGAAATGGTCCCGATCGATCATTCTCGTTTGCAACAGCGCGACTTCTATCGGATAGACTTCTATCGGAGTCGAGACAGTCTCAGAAGAACTTCTCGTTCACACACTCGATATTATCACCACATTAACGACGAGTCCAAACATCAATCGTGTAGCACGTGGTGTATCATATGTATGCGCACCGAGAATGGCCTATTAAGATTGAAACATGTTGGCGTGTACCGCTTACTGCGGTGATCTTAGGCGAAGTCGCGACGTGGACGTGTTGGTATCGATCGGCAAACTGCACCGCCGTTAGGAAACTGTGTCAACTATGGGATACATCCGATGGGTGAATCTTCTCTCTTGCGTCCTATTTTCCGCTGATAACCCGATTGCTTCGCTTATCCTTCCGGCGATGAGAGTGCCGAAACTGTCCCAAGAAGTATCTCGCGATTACGGTGCTCTTCGCTAAACCTTTAATTAAAATTCTGTTAAAGTACAATTAGAATAAAGTAAGAAGTAAGATTTATATTCTTATCTGCATTTACAGAGTTTAATTAGTGAAAATGTACAGATTTGAACCACTTATGATTGAAAAACTATTATAACAGTCTTCAAAAAGGAAAATCCAGCATAATTAAATAATTTCTGCATATAGATGAAAAAATTGTAAAAAATTTTGAAAAATTCTTTTACAAAATATATTTTAACAATGGTAGCTAAAAATGAAATAAAACATCATTTTTGCTACTCTTCTTTCAAGAGCATATTTACATACATATTTAAAGTATTATTTTCAACTTGACATATGAAAGGGTTGACGAAATATATTTATGCTTGTCCTCTGCATCGCGCTATATTATTCGTTTTGCGGAAAAAGTTTCTCGTAAATTGCATTATTCATAGAAACGATCTGCGACGGTGACTTATTGCTGCCGCCCTACGGCTAGAAGGGTGAAACGATAGGGATTTGAATAAATTCGGTTAGATTTGCCTCTGGACGTGCAACGTATCCTATCTTAAAATTCATCGCTTGCGCTACATTCTCCTTGTTTCAACAAAGCGACCAATTTACAAAACTTCTGCTGGATCGCATGCGGTGCAATGTGTGTCGCACGAGTGGTGTGTAGGTAGGTTAAGTACTTTTTCTTCTCAGTAAAATAAAACAATTTCGGAATTTCTGTATAGGAAAGAAGGATTCATAATTTGTTAAAAATTTTATTTTGCTTTGAAACGTTATAGATACCTTAAAGATCTTAAAATATTCATAAAATGTTATGGTAATTTTCCAGACACCCTGCATATTAAATATTTCTATCGATATAATATTATGAACAATAAGTGTCAAAAGAATAACCAAAAATGATTTTAATAATATAATACTTTAACTTCAATACTCTTGTTGACGCGCTTGGAGAACTCGACATCGCGTCTTCTCTCAAGATGTTGAAAGATTAACTTCGATGCGCCCTACAGCCGACACCGTACAGTTATTCCCCGACATGAACGAAGGAAATGAACGATATTCGCAGAGCGTAACGTGGCCGCGAGGCGGAAATGAAGTCGTATCTTATCTTGGTTCCACTCCCTACAACCACTCACCGAGATTCGTAAAGTGAATAATTCCCCAACCATTTATTTCGGCGTTCCGCTTTAGTGCGAGCGCTCGCGGTATGGATAAAAGGAGAGTGAATGAAACCCGCAGAAACAAGAATCACCGGTGGCGAAAACTATCTCGTATTTTTCGAACCGTGCAGACGCAAAGAAAAGAAGAAGCGTCGTTAAAATTCGAAACTAAACTTTCTCCGAGACTGAAAGATTCGTAAAAATCGATTAAAATTATTCCCAAGATTTATGCAGATGAAAAGAAGTTTAGCAAGAGAAAAATATATATATTATACATGTAACTATGCATATAGTGCTTTGATAAGATAATGCTGAAATTGTAATTCTCAGTGAATTCGAGTATGAATACTCGGTAAGTCCAATACATGGATAAGTTTTCAAAGCGGCGAGGAGATAAGAACGCGTGACTGTACTTGAACACGTAGTTGATAATGTTAGTCATAGTGATTTCTGGATCTCGTATGAACGGGAGAGATTATCTCTGAAGCTGTGACTTTCGAAGCGGATGGACACCTGGAAGTGCTTAGCTTTCCTGGAGTTTCTAACGGTAAGAGAAACGGCTCCTGAATGGGATCGACAAGATCACGCTTTATCGTGGAGAACACTTCGACAGCTAAGAGAAAAAGGAACTGACATGGAAAATCGAGAGGAGAAGAGTTTTACTGGCAATACTGTTTCGCGGTTAAATAGCTTTTCTGCGCAACCCTGCATTTCGTAGTACCCATGCTGACAGTGATATAAAACTTTATCTCTGCGAGTGTAGTCGAGCGCGAGATGACCGTTTCAAAATCATTTTTAACACGTTCGGGATAACATTGCACATTGATTTTCGCGAATGGCACTTTCCTATGCAACAAGTACATAGTGGAAAACATAAAGTGGCTCGAAAATCATTTGGACAGCAAGTCCACTTGTGATACAATTGTCAAAATAAATAAAAACTTAATTTGAATAATGTACAATGTTTCGCATTATTTAGCATTGATGCGAAATTCGTGTTATTTTACAGAAAAGTGAAACATTTGATCAAAAAATTGATTCCAATTAAAAGAATATGAAAAAATACCAAAATTTAAATATCACGATATTTAGTTATTATAGAATTGTTTATCAAGTAATAAATAGAAATATAATATTTTTTTATTATAAATGATAATTAAGAAAATTATAACTTATAAATTATATAGAGTGAATAAGTCATTCATGCCTGCGTCTTATGTGATAAATTGAGAATCGATTTCTTACAAATTTAATTATTGTTTATTCGCATCACCCCTTGAAAAATATGGAAATTGTCTGTCTCTTAACTCAAACTCGTAACTTTTTTATTAATTATCTTATATAGATTTCTTTAGTTATTTACTTTTTATTCTTACAATAAACCACCAATGTTATTTATTGCAAACTGCCCCGAAATTATATAATTCTACAATAGATGAACACGATAATTGGTCATCTATATGAATTTCTGATTGGTTCTCTTTATTTTCCTGTAATATAAAAATACAAATTCGCAAAAGAACTAATATTTGTATACAATTTCTTAATACGCACATTTTAGAAGTACTCATTGCACATTTTATTATATCACAATTTTCTATATCATGAAAGAATTAAATGAATTAATGTCTTGAATTAGTGTACTGAAGCTAAATAAATTAAAATCACGAATATTTCGCAGATGAGTGATTTCTGATACCACATGACAAATCACTCAAGTGTTATCCGCGTGTATACGATTTTATACATATAAACTAATGTCGCTAAGCGTAAACATTGTGTTTACGCTTAGCGACATTTAATCTTTCGCGAATTCGAGAAACCGCGAGAATATGTCGAGCAGTAACTCAAACGATTTATCTATATATCGAAAACTGGAAGATTTTAAGACTTCGTACCAAGCAAACTGCAAAAGGCTGACGGACATCGTCGTTAAATCACTCGCTTAATGGAGAGAAAATGGAAGGAAACACGTATGCGAGAGAGAGAGAGAGAGAGAGAGAGTGTGTGTGTGTGTGTGTGTGTGTGTGTGTGTGTGTGTGTGTGTGAGAGTTGAAACCGCATAAATAATTGAAATGTTTCGAAACCGGTCATGTGGAACGTTCCGTTTCGGGGTATACGTACGTTCAGCCTCCGCCTGCAGCTATACGACCAGCATGATGATAAGAGAAGCTTCCCTCTCAAGAAGACTTCAAACGCGTCGGCCAATTCGCCACGGCCACGAACTTCGGGGGGGTAGTTTCTGTTCTCAGCCGCATGACTAGTCCAGCAAATCTTACGTCACGTTTTCCGTCGACTCCGATTGATCAAAGGAACATTGCCAAATGACCGGGCGGAATACTACTTTCTTTCCTTGTATTTTTCTTTCCTGCGATATCAATTAAGATCTCCTGCGTGGAAGTTTTCCTTTGACCAACTGCGTAATGTCGTCGGACGATGCTTTGGACTGCTCTAGAGATAAAATTATATAATATTTTTCTATAATGCTATATATACAGACATCTATGCGCGATGTATCCTTTTATTTTCTAGAACACTTATGTATATATGATACGCATATTACAAAATAATTATTTAACTGCTGATTATTCACTCGTATAAATGTGTTTAATAAAGAAAAATTTTGAAAGAATTTATTTTATAAAATGTATATTTTAATAAAAAAAAGTTTTATTTTTTATTCATCAATTTACGATTTCATAGTAAAATAATTTTATTTTTTATTAAATAACTAGAAGCGCTGTAAAAATTCTCTATTTAA